GGCAAGAGGAGAAGGTTGCACTCTTCAGTCTGAAGGGTGGACACTCAGGCAGAATTTCTGCAACAGTCTAGAGGCAGAATTCCCTCCTTTTCCAAGGACCTCAGTCTTTTCTCTTAAAGATTTCAAACTGATTGGAAGAGGTCCATTCACCTTATGGAGGGTGAACTGCTTGACTCAAAGTCTACTGATTTAAATATTACCCTCATCTAAAAAACACCTTCATAGCAACATCTACACTGGTGTTTGACCAAACAACTGGGCACCATGGCCTAGCCAAGTGAACACATAAAATTAACCACCACATATGTCTTAATATCTGTCAAGTCCTCCTTTATTATTTTCCTGCTCTAGAATTTCCTTGACTACTGAACACATTTTTCCATAGAAACTTTTAAATTGATAATCTAACTGGAATTAAATTTTTATATTCATTTGGGGAGGATTAACATTTTATCAAGTCTTCCATTTTGTTCAGACTTTGATTTATATACATCCTGTACATTTCTTATTAAAGATATTCTTAAATACTTTATTTAAGCATTAAAGTGATTTTGTGGGCCGGCCCCGTGGCTTGGTGGTTAAGTGCGTGCGCTCCGCTGCCGGCGGCCCGGGTTCGGATCCCGGGTGCGCACCGAGGCACCACTCCTCCAGCCATGCTGAGGCCACGTCCCACATACAGCAACTAGAAGGATGTGCAGCTATGACAGACAACTATGTACTGGGGCTTTGGGGAAAAATAAATAAATAAAATCTTTAAAAAAAAAAAAAGTGATTTTGTGAGTGGATTTTCTTTCCATTCTCAAAATAGGTAATATATATAAGTGGTGGTTAATATATAGAAAAGCTATTTACTTTTGTAAATTATCTTGTATCTAGCAACCTTACCAAATGCCCTTGTTAATTACAATAGTATATTGACTACCATATCTTAAGTTTTTAGACATACAATCATATCAGCAAAAGGGGTAGTTTTTCTCTTTTCAATATTTATACTAGTTAATTATTTTTTCTTTTCTTATTGCATTTGCTAGTACCTTCAAGACAATGTTAAATCATAATGGTAATAAGGCACATCTCATCTAGTTCCTGAATTTGATATAGCTTTAGAGTTTCACCTATTAGAATGATGTTTGCTTTGGTTTGCAGAGAAATAATCTAATCTTATTAAGTCCCTGTAGCTGACACTACTGGCTGCCCAACTAACCAGTCACCTTCCTCCTTCCCCACTTTTTTTCAGGTACCCATCCTCCTTTGTGCGGGTTTACAGTTCCCATTCACACCCCTGAGGGAAGGATTGGGCACACATGAATAGTAAAATCCAGCCCTGTGGCCAACAATTTATGAAAAGGAATGGGACCCAATTCTGACTGAAAGGACATAGAGAAAGTCTTTACTGCTTATGGTAAATGTTTCCATTCTTGTAAAAAAGACAAACAGGAGAGCTGTCCTTCCCTTTTCTTCCTGTACAACTTGTTTTGCCTGGACATGACACTGGGAATTGTTACAGCCATCCTGCCCATCCAGAGCCTGAAGAAACCAGCACCCAGGGAACAGCGAAAGATGGAAAGATCCTACTAGGTCCTTGATGACAATGTTGAGTCGGTGTATTAACCAGCCCTGGAGGTGGACTTCCTCTTGACTTTTGTGGTAAGATAAGAAATTTCATTATTGTTTGACATAGGTTTTAAGTTACTTGCTGCTAAAGACTTCCTTACAATATTTTACTCTTTCCCTCATTTCCTTAGAATTTTTATTAGTAATCACTGCTTAATTTTATCGAATGCTTTTTCAACATCTAGTGATACAATCATATGGTTATTCTTTAATTTTTGGATATAACAAATTACCTGGAAAGATTTCCTGCTATTGAGTGATTCTTATATTCCTGGAATAAATTCTTGTTTACAGTGTCCAACTACTGGATTTGATTTGCTAATATTTCACTTAAAATCTGTATTCCTAAATGATAATAGTCTATAGTTTTCTATTTTATATGATTCTTATCATGTTTTGGTATTAAAGTTATATTGACTTCATAAAATGAATTAGGGGTTTTTCCATCTTTATTTATGGTATGAAATTATCTGTCCTTTAAAGAGTAGCTAGAAATCGCATATAAAACTCTTTGGACCTGGTGACATCTTTAATAGTAAATTTTTAATCCCCTTCCCTGGCTAACAATGCCCCAATTTTATTGGATAAGCAATATTCCAAGCTAAAAAATATTTCCCAGCTTTAAGCAGAGGCCGTGTGACACAGTTCCAGCCGAAGAGATAAATGGAAGTTATTAGGTAGGTTCTTCCTGGAAAGGTCCCAATGGGAACACAAAGCATAGGCTGGAGCTGGAACATCCATCTTGCAACCATGAGGACTAAGGATGGCTGAATGGAAATGTAAAGCCTGGTCTCTAAGGCTTCATGGCGCTGGATGTCAGCCTGACTATTTACTTCTGGACTTCTTTTGCTTAAGTCAGGGAAAACACTCTTAGGCATTTAATCATTGGGTTGGTGTTTTGTTTGTCTCTTTTGAGGGGCGTCATCACTCAGTGCCAAATGTAATTCCTAAGTGTTACATATACAAAATTTTCTATTAAATTATTCTACTTCATAGGTCCATTTTCTAATTTATGTTTGGCTGAGAAATCACCCATTTCCTCTAGGTTTTCAAGTTTGTTATCACAGAGTCGCATAATGAAATCTCTTACATTATTTTACTCTCTTTTATATTAGTATCTCATTTTATCATTTTTAATTTTGTATACTTTTACTTTTCCCCCTTGATCAAACTCGTTGAAGCATTTGTCTTCTTTTTAAATATAGCTATTGTAGGGGCCGGCCCATGGCGTAGCAGTTAAGTGCGCATGCTCTGCTGCTGGCAGCCCGGGTTCAGATCCCAGGCATGCACCGATGCACTGCTTGTCACGGATGTTAGCTCAGGGCCAGTCTTCCTCAGCAAAAAGAGATGGATTGGCATGGATGTTAGCTCAGGGCTGATCTTCCTCACAAAAAATAAAATAAAAATAGCTATTGTATTTATTTATCCTTTCTACAGTTTCGTTTGTGTTGGTTCCTGTTTTATTCTTTTAATTTATTTTATTGTTCTTTTTTTTTTTTTTGTGAGGAAGATCAGCCCTGAACTAACATCCATGCTAATCCTCCTCTTTTTGCTGAGGAAGACCGGCTCTGAGCTAACATCTATTGCCAATCCTCCTCCTTTTTTCCCCCCAAAGCCCC